TAAAAGTACTTTATAATCTTCTTTATTATCAAGTTATCGTTCAAGTAAGCTTTACTTTGACTAGAAGTGAAAGAGACACAATAAGAAAACTACCTGAACGAAATTCTTCACTGACTCCACTGACTTCTAAATCAATTCTTGGTCTAGTCATGCGACATTTAGAACATACCGACTTTTATGACGATGAACCATCTTTTCGATCAAGTAAATCAGTTGAACAAAGAATTCAAACTCTCTGTTTGCCATTTTTACGAATTGCAGCACTTTTACGTCATCATTTGTACTCCCAATCTCTTCCTGATATACGAACAACTCAAACAGAATTTGTTAGACTAGTTTATTATCTTGAACTAGTAACAGAAGGTATGGATTGGGATTGTTTTAACGCAGCTGTTGCTCTCAATTGGCAAAATGAAGACGCTAGTGTTGAAGTTCCTCGAATGTGGTGCAATCAGCTTCTTGCTTTTTATAGAAGAAGTCAAGTTGCCGCTAAAAAACTTGCAGTTGATCAGCATATATATTGGCAGCCACCAAAGTTACTGAAACTTCCCAGGGAATACGAAAAACTTTTTACGGTAATATTGCAGTGAATAAATTATTTTATACATAAGGATCAAAGTTTAATAGAGTACTGGAAAAAGACTAAAAAATTAAATAATTGATAAATGTTACGCATAGAAGCTATAAAATATAAGATTATATCTTCATAATTTCATAAAAATATTGTGCTAATTAATAGATACTTTATTTAACTAACATTATCGTTGTTTTAATTTAAAAAACTACTTAATATAATTTTTCAATTTTTCGATATTAAGCGCCTATATACAACACAAGTAAACTATTTTTTTTTTGTTAACTAAAAAGTAATTGCATCTTTATCCAGCTACTCTATCGTATCTTGATATGCTTTACATTATCATAAAAATTTTATTTCCATGTATTTCTGTAGTATTATCACGCAAAACAGTGCTGCAGGTGTCATTTAGTACCTCCAGAAATCAGTATATGTCTCCTGTGTGGAACGATTGTCTGTCTGAAACAACTATGTTGTAAACAACAAAATATTGGAGAAGCTGTTCAGGTAAATGCACTCGCATTTTTTATCAATTTTTTTTTTCTGAATAAACATAACAATTAAGTTTATCTGGTTACAGCACTCAATTGATTGTGGTGGAGGTACTGGTATTTTCTTGGTAGTAACATCAACATACATAATAGTGATACGAGGACGTAGAGCTTGTTTATGGGGCTCTCTCTACCTAGACGATTTTGAAGAAGAAGATAAAGATTTAAAGTGTGTATAATAAAAATTTTTGAATTTAAAAATTATAGATATAAAATTAACGAACAATATTTTTATTTAATTATAGACGTGGTAGACCTCTATATCTTAGTCAAGAACGATATCAACTTCTCGAACAACAATGGCTTGCACACCGTTTTGATCATACAAAAAAAACATGGGTATGGCACCGTGATTCTCTGTGACAATTATTAGCGAACGCAATTAGATTTCAGAATCTTACAGACGAAAGTAATCATTTTTTGTAACAATTTACCTGAGATTTCCTACTTATGACACCTTTAAAATGGATTAAAAACTACCAATAAATTATTAAATTTTTCAGAAATTGATTCATAGATAATAACAAATAAAAATTAACTTTAAGTACAATTAAAAGAACATAAATACATTTATTAGATACGTGTTAGATACTATTGCAAATAAATATACGATAGTACTATAATTAATGAACTATGATAACTAATTAAGATAAATACTTTAGTCACAAATTAATACTCATCTGGTGGTTATTATAAAGTTGATAAATTAAATAACTTGATAGGTAATTAAATAACTAACAAGCTTTTTTAGTCACTGGGAGTACAGAAAACATATTTGAAAGAATGGCATTATTTTTATTGCTTGCCATTCTGTTTATTTTTCGGCAGATAATGCCATTAATTATGACGCCTAGAACAATGATTAATACTCAAGTTTGATTAAAAAATTTTTTTATTTGAATGTATTCTCTGTAAATATGTAATTGAATATTTAGTAAATTTAAACATTGTAAAACAATAATAAAAAATAGACTATATTGAGTAATACAAAAAATAGAAGTCCTGTAAAAGATTTGTACATAAATAGTTGAAGTAATATTTTTACAAATATATTTCGGTTTGTTAGGCAAAATTTTTAAAACTAATCTTTATATATCTTTATATATATTTATTTCTTCTGTGCGGGTGTTTGTCACTGAACTCCTTCTAAACGGCTGGACCGATTTTAATGAAATTTTTTGTGTGTCTTCAGATGGATCCCAGTATGGTTTAGATTCACAATTCAGTCTACGGGAAAATTAATTATATTCAATTAATTTTTCATTTGTAAATTGTTGTTGACCTTGGAATGTCTTACATTGGATCTGGCAAACAGCGATGCGATCGCAGTATCGAATATTTCAAAATATTTTATCTTAATTTCAGTGTGACCGGATTGTAGGCGCTGTGATCAGATTCACAAAAATTTTGTGTTATGGTGGTAAAATTAATCACGTCCAAATTGAAAAAATATTACATTGTAATAACGTTTTAATAATACTTTTCATCAAAACGGTCAAAACTATAATAGCTTATTCGAATAAGTTTATAATTTTTAAATTTAAGACGTGTGTACAGGACAACGTCTGTCGGGTCTGCTAGTATTCATATAAATGTCAGAATCATTAACTTTAAGATAATGATGGCATGAAGCTCTAGAAAAAAGTGCTGGAGATCGATAGACATAGGTCAACGTTTATTTTTGTTTTTTAATTCAAATATTACTATAAGCTAAGAAAATTGAATCTCAGAAAAAAATCATTTAGAGTTTGAAAAATATTATTTTCGATAGGAAAAAAAACCGGTGAAGATTTCGAAAATTTTAAGCGCGTAAAGTCGATAGAATAAAAATTCATGTAGCTACATCTCAATAATTACTCCAATAATTCACATAATTTTTTTTTCGAGATATTAGAATCATGCAACTAAAAAAAAAAAAAAAAAAAAAAAAAAAAGTGCGATAAAAAATAAATAGGCAATAATTTTACAAAACTAAATCGATTATTAATAAAAAAAATTGTCTAAAAGTTAATATTTCAATATTCTAATCACTATATTAACATTATTTATTACTATATTTGTGGTCCATTTAAATAACTATGAAGAATATACCTCTTTTGGCAGTATACAAATTCTTTCTTCATTGTGATAAAGCTTGATGATTAACAACTTGTATTTAACATGAATAAAATTGCAGCTAAATTTTTGAAGAAATAATGTTGTTTAAGATTATTAGTAAATAAAGATCTTGAATAATTTTATTTTCTATTAAAAAGAAGCCTACTACTTTTTATGTAGACAGTTAGGTTTGATATTTAAATGATTGAAGGTAAAATGCTTTACGAATTTCAACTATTAAAAAAAAAAGCATGGTTATAGAGAAAATAAATCTATTTGAAGTTAACTTCTTTATCTGGTGACACGACAAAATCTAATTTTAAATAATAATATTATTATTCCTGACAGTTGTGATGGTATTTTTCGTGTAAATATACACAAAAAATCATGATAAAAGGGCACAACGAGATTTTGAAGCGTATTTTGTCGGGGAGATTTCGTGGTACAACCCTTTATCTGATGTTTTAGGTCATTTAAACTCGGATAGTAAGTTCAACACTAAATTTAAGTGCAATTTTGTCTTGAATTGAGCCTAAGCAAGAGTGTAAGAATTCGTCCGATGAGGCACGGGGCACGGGTCTATCATACACTGTATCCGTGCTCGTACCCCGTGCAAATGAAATATCTGCACGGGTGTAGTGTATGCATAGACCCATGCCCCATGCCTCATCGGACGAATTCTCACTTCCATTATATAATATGACCATGTATCAGCCTGTGCCAAGTATTTTCAAATGTTTATCATTTCTATGGTTAATCAAATTATATTTAGCTCTGCATGTATTAATAGGATGATCAGAGTTTATGCATCGTAAATTTTTTTTTTCTCTAAATTCAACCAAATTGTCCAGTATTAATCGTAACAAGCCTTGTCGCAGTTAATTTTAATGATTAATTTGTAGGAAAATTAGGTTTCTGGACTGGAAGAGACTAAAAAAAAAAAAAACGTTAAAATTTGAATTTTCAAGCACTTCAAGCTTAAAAACATCAAAGAGTTCTTAGGATGTTTAGCAGGATCAACTGTTTCGAACTTTTTTTTTATTTGAAAAATTTCACTTTTTTTTTATTGAATTCGATTTAATTTAGTAGCAGAATCGTTTCAAATTATAATTTTTTAATTGATTAACTAAAAGTTATACTTTTGTAGAGCTAATTATCGCATGTATATCATCACTTTGAATCATTTACATACTGTTTTTTTATTGTTCTAGTAATTTTTATAGAAATAATGAATGTAAATACGTAAGTAGTGATCTTTCTAATTTATGATATTTATAACACAATTGCTGTAGATTCAGAGTTAAAGTTTTATACAAAAATATGTTTTGTGTTTTATCTAGACTAAGCTCGTAATCTGGCTAATGGATTTTCAAAGCAAATCACTGATAATGGATATTTAATGTAGAGTTTAACTATATTATAAGGATACAGAATTTTTTCCAAAAATACAGATTATTAATTTAATTTAGATTTAATTCATAAAAATATTCAACAAAAAGTTAAAAAAAAAATTATAAACCATCTTTAAAATTTTATTACATTTTTTTGTGTTTTTGAAAATTTGATAATACAATTATGTATGCATTAAAAAGTTTTTCTCTTTAATACATAACAGTTATAAAAACAGAGGAACTTATGCGTCCAAAAGTTCAGTATGCAAATGAAAAAGAATGTATCTGTGAAAGCGTCAATCTAATTATTGTATGTATTCAATATCTTATATAAAGTACATTCAATTCAAGTATATTTAGATAATTCAAGTTCTTTATGTTAAATTATTTTTTTTCATTATTTTTGTCTTTTTCTTTATCTTTATTTTGCTGTATGGAACTAACGGCTTGACGTACAGCTTCTGATTGCGGATCAACACCAGGAAGACTTTCTAAAACTGTCTGCAAAAATGTAGGATCGGACATAACAGCAGCATAGTCATCTTCAACTTCCATGGCTTCTTCTTTTTCAGGCTCAAAGTCTTCTACAAAAATAAAAACAATATTTTTCATCTTATGGTATAGTTAAAATTAAATTAAAATTTAATAAATTTTTAGATGAGTAAATTTATTTTAGATACAAATATGCAAAGAGTATATGTCTATGATTCACGGATAGTTGATATCTCAAAGTATAACTTATTATAGGAAAGGCTTAAAAATGACTACAACTGTAAAATTTTACTAGTTGAAAAAGTAAAACACGTTAAAATTAATTTTATCCAACTGATTAATTTAGCATAATTATCCAGTTACGTGGAATCAGGCTTAAACAATACTTTTGTCATTGGAGTAGAGAAATTCTTTTGCTATTAATATAATACAAAGTGGGAGGCTAAATCAACTAATTAAACAATGATTTAGCCATTTCACATACATCAGCTAGTAGTTGAATTGATTGAATGGATAATTTGATTTTTTTTACAATTTAAAAATACAAAGTTGAAAAATTGAAAGATATGAAAAAAACTCAATTTTTTTACTATAGTTTTTTATTAAGTTATCGCCGTTTAAAAAATGTTTCCCTGTTCAATAGTAAAAATATTATTTAATTCGACTTCCACGTGAGAATACTAGTTTTATAAGCGAACTTAAGACAGAAAAAAAAATCGAAAATTTTACCAAAAATTAAATAAAAAATTGAATAATGTAAAAAAGTAAGAAGAACAAAAGTAAAAACACTTTAAAAACTGAAAATTGTGTACTTACGTTGATCTTGCATAGACATTTGCATTGCGAAAGCAATCTGTTCTTCTTCGGACATTCGAGCGAAATCTGGAACTTGGCTAGAAGTGGGATTAGTCTCTGGTACGCTCGATACTTCCTCAGTACCCTCGAGTGACATAGCTAAAGCCCGTTTAAGCATAGCTTCTTCATTTGGAGTTTCTGTAACTATTTCCTGTTTAACTTCAGTTTCTGCAACTTGAGCATGACGAGCTTCTTCTTCTTGGCGTTGTCGTTGTTCTTCCATAGAAACTCGCAATGCCTATACATATATAATTCAATATTAATAATTATTTACTTTTAAATATATTAATTAAATTACATAAAAATAAAATCATACCAATGCTAGTTCCGGATCTTCATTAGGATCTACGCCAAATTCGAAAGCATTTCCACTTATTCCCGGACCACCCATGCCATCTTCCCCTTGAATTATTGGAGAGGATATTAAAGCGTCTGATAGATGTGGACCAGGAGGCACGGTTACAAGATGACTTCCAGTACCATCTTTACCATTTAAAGCATTTATAAATGATGTCAATACATCATTATTAACAGCTTCTTCACCGAAACTGACAATATCAACGTTGACTTTTTCTTTCTTTAAGCGCTTTGCTAATTTGACAAGCTCTTTTTCGTCGAATAGAATCGGGCTCCCGACAAAGGCTACGATTCTCATCTTATGATTTTTCCCTTGGCGGTGCTTGAGCGCCAACTGTAAAAGAAAACCAAAGATCCATTCAATTTCTTATTTATAACAAATATATTACTGATGATAAAGTATATAAATCAACATTAGGTTGTTATGTTTAATTTTTTAAGTAAATAATTTAGGTTCAAATAAATTATTTCAATAAAATCAGCTTAAAGATAGTTGGTAATTGATTTAATTTTTGATTTTAGTATATTTTTATAGTACTTACATGAGCGATCCTGATCCCAGTAATTATGTTGAGATTGCCATTAGGTTGAACCTGATGTAGTTTTGACAAAATTCGTCCTACGTCACTTGTTAAAGTAGCAAGTACTTCTACACTATAAGAATTATTATACATAAATTAAAAAAAAAAACGTTCAGACTTTTTTTTTATAAATTCAAGTAGTTTGACAAATACATACTTAGCAAGCGTAATCAACCCAACATTATTTTCTGGATTTGAGCGAGTTTTTGAATGACATACTAAATTGACAGCGTCTTGTTGAGCTTGAAGTCTTGTTGGTAAGAAATCTCCATTTCTCATATAGTCGCTGTTGTCGACACTAGTAAATTGAATTCAATATTAATAATTACATTTATATAAGTTTGAATATAATAAGTTTATATTCTTTATTATAAAATACAAAGTTGAAAATTTTTCTCGTCAATCGAAAAAATTAGATGTTAATAAGTTTACAAAGTTTAGCAACATTTGACTAACAATGGAAGCTACAACCTGGGAAATTCATGTCACGATGAAACTCGGTAAACAAATAGTTAATTCTTTAGGGTGTTAACCTCTGAATAAAAAATAAAGCAAACCTTTTAAATTAGAATTCAACTGATGGATTCGTATTAAAGACATCATAAAAAATAATTAAAAAAAAAAAAATTTTCCCTATTTTTGAAAATTTCCCATTTTTATAGCGAAAATTTAAAAATACTCCAAATGACTATGTTAAAAAAAAATGCCATAATAACTTTTATTACTGAATATATGCCTGATTATGTGTCGTCACTTAAGAATGATCCCGAAGTTAACAGACGTACAACTATTTTCGTGTTTGATCTTTAATGAAGAATAAATGATGAAAAAAAAAAAAAAAAAAAAAAAAAAACAGAAAAAATACCCATACATGTAGAGGATTTATTAAACTTTATGAGCTATTTGTATAGATATTTTTTAAAATTTAATGTCTGAGAAAAAAAAACATTATTAGATATTGTCATCACTTCATAGCAAATTTCTCTAAATTAGCGTATTCAATAACCAATGTTCTCAAATAATTCCAATATTTTATCAATAAATATTAATTTATCACGTCATAGTATACAATTGATTGGAGAGGAAAACTTTTTCAAAGATTATCAGATAGATGAACAATAAAAAACTTACCATATCATCGTACTCTCGAGAACCATTTTTAGTTCTTGATTATTATTGATACCATATAAAACTTCAACACTATTCAACACGAGAATGAGAACATGACTCGACTAACTTTTGTCAAAGGAAGAAGGGGTATGTTTACTTCTACGTAACATCACTAGCGCCATGTGACAATTTAAAGAACTAAACAGCCTTCTGTATATAGCTGTTTCTAAACTCAAAATTATTTTATGATATTAAGAACAGCCGAGACCAGTGATTGCAGTTTCAATCGGCTTAGCGAAACGAATAGAAATTTTGAAAAAAACGTTTTTAGAGAAAATAGATAATTTAATAAACTATTTCACCACAAAAAATTTTTTTCAAAAATTTCATTTTTTTTAGTGAAACCAATCGAAACTGCAATTGCTCTGCTGTTGGGAGTGCGACAGAGATAGTTCCGTTGAACTCCGTGAGAGCAAAGCGAGAAAAAGATGGTCTCGCCTGTTGAAATTTGGTTAGGGAGAAAAAATGACAAATTAAAAAAGGAAAAATGTAAAAAAAACTGTTCAACTCAAGAAATAAATCATTTACAAAACGAAAAAAATTGGAAAAGAAAATCAAATTTGAGAAATTGATTCCCCGAATGAAGTCAATTAGTGAAATAGTGAAGTGAGTTGTGATGCTTTTATTCGCATTCAGGTGCCACTATCTATAGTTAACCTGCGAATTTTAAATATTGAAAACTTTGTATTGAAATCACCAGATGTTTGACCACTTTTCGGGTTTACTTACCAAATATTAAGTGATTTGTACAGAAAAATTATCATTTTTTTTTTTCAATTTTTATTCTTAGTTTTTTACAATGTTTACAATTGGTATGTGTCGATTGTTTTTATATTTTTTTTGTCATGATTTATCATCTAAAAAAATTCTTAAATTTTCAATGTCTTTCAATATTAGTATTTTTTATTATTATACCGTTGAATAATAAGATATGTTTGATAATAACAAAGACCGATTAATCAAAGTATTGAAAATAATTGCAAAATTTGTTCTTTTAATTGAACCTACTTTAGCGCTTTTGAAAAAGGCTAAAAAATATTTTTTTTCCTTTGCTTCATCAATTGTACATCGATACATTAAAAAATTAAAAAAAAAAAAATTTTTTTTAGAGAAAAATTTTTGATCACAAAAAATTTTCACAATTTTTCTCTTTATTAATAAGATTATTTTTTTCTACTTTGTTATTTAAATTCTTCTTAAAACTTTGATTTATCGGTCCGGAAAAACTTCAATTGATCGTTCTATAAATTTTCTGAGCTATTGGAGGTACAGTGAGAAATTGTTGAGAAAATTAGTTGTCCGATCAAAATTAGTAAAGATAGAGTGAAGTTACTAGAGATAAGAAAAAAGTCTCTTTTCTGGACTTTTTGTCTACTACAAAAACTATTGGACTAAGTATTGTAGGAATTTTCATTCTTACAATAATTTTTAGACTTCCGTGAAAACCATAACGCTTAAAAATTTTTGACTGGAAAGTCTCAAGACTTTAATCTCGAAGCTTCAAAATGTATTCCTATGATTTTGATACGATCACTGAAATATTTACTCGCTTAATTTTTTAGAGGACTGTGTAATAATTACATAGTAATTCTGTATCTATAATCATATATAATTTTTTATACGGCGTCGCTAACATGAACTCTGAAGATCCTGATTAGATTGCTTTACTAGATAGATTTATTTAAACATTGTACGCTGTTCTTACAGCTAGCAGTGAGAACTGCTTTTTACAATTTTTTTATCACAATAGTTTGAGTAAAACTGCATGTTATTAAATAAATATAGCTCTGGTTCTAGCACCAATTGACACTTACATATTTCATGTTATCACTATTATCACTATTTTGTACTAAGGCTTTGGTTCTAGCAGCACTTGAAAAGGAGGTCCTTTCGCCGCCAATGTAAAACTTAGCTTGAGTAAAATCAATCAACAATCATCAACCCCCGGAAGACAAAGAAAAAATTTATCGCGGTCGATTGATGTTAATTAAATGTTAAAGATTAATAATTGATAAACTTACCAGACAAACCGAGTAAGAAGCAAGCACCCACGACAAGTGTATGGGCCTTCATGATTAGTAACCTTTGGCATAAAATTATATTTATTTGTTAATAATTTTGTTATGTATAATGAAGACACATATGTATTTTATTATCAATAAATTATAATGAAGAGCGTTGAATGTTAATGCAGATGATAATGAGGATTGATAAGTGCTGCAGAGCGTTGAGTGTATTATTGATGGTACTTACGACGAAAGACGTATCTGTATCACAAGTAAGAGGATTAAGTGTACTCGAGGAGTAGCACAATCAACGGTATAACTTTGACGAAGACTCGAGATTGAATGATCGAGGTTTTTATTCTTAAAGCGGGGTTACCGACCTACCGACCGAGCGACCCCACAACTTCGAGAGCTCAGACAGCACTGTTGATGTCGTCGGCACTGGTTGGCACGGCTCTGCCACCCCACGAGCGACGCTTCCCGACACCCACACCACCATTGGGGGGACCAATGTCCATGGGACAGCTAGCTTGTGTGCGCGGGAACTAGGAACCGACGCAGATGCCTGATTCGGGATCGAAAGAGACGGAGTACAGCTATATATTGTTCTATGTTGTTCCTGCTACTACGGTGCTGCTAGTGGGGATCATCTCAAATCTCGTTGCTACCAAGTCAGACCCAAAGGTCGATCGATATTTTTTTTTTGCTTATTTTGTTGTTCGCTTTATTTTTGCTAAAATATTTAATCGACATTGTTGTTGATATTTAGCTTTATGTTTATTTTTGTTAGATTGAAGAGTTTAGAATCGTGAAAATATTTGATCTTAGTGAAAGATAATTATAATATTTCAAGTGTCATTTAATATGATATAGTAAAGAATGTAGATTAGTATAGGTAGTATAAGAATTCAAAAAATTATTTTGAACATTGTGTAAATTTTAGTGATTTTTTTTTGTATTGACATAATTTATTTAAGGAGGTCCTTTCGCCGCCAATGTAAAATAAAAAATCTTAGATTATGAGTAAATTCAATTTTTTTCTAATAGTTAAGGTCTTTATTTATCTAATAGTGAGGTTTAGATTATACTTTACCGGACAAATTTTTGAGAAAATAAAATTTTTAAATGTTAGTATTTTTGTTCAGAGTCTTACGAGAAAGTCAGGCGTTTGCAGTATTTCTCGAATTATATTATCAGTCATGGATTAGATGAAGTAAAAAAAACCTAAAAATTAGATTTTCGAAATATTGAGGTTTCTTTTTTTGCAATAAAATATATATCAGTTACCGAGATATTTATTGAGAAATTAATTTTTAAAAATCACAAAAAATTCTCAAGTAACCTACATTAATATATGGAGTCAAAATATTTGGCAACGTTGCGTATCGCGCGAGCTTCAGACCATTCAATAAATTCAAACTAATTTATTTATTTACACTGACTGCAAAAACTTAAACGTGTTTAAGGTTATATTGTGCAAATGAAAATGTAAACAACCGAAGTACAGCGTTGCCAAATCACGGACAGATTACTTGCAGCTGTTTTGAAAGAGTCAAATTAATTTTTGTATTTAACTATTTTTTTTTTTTTTTTTTTCAAAATTTCAACGATTAATGCCTCATACTATTTATTATTTAATTTTAGGAATTTTTATGGGTTTTTTATTTTAATTTATCGTATATTGACTACTACAATTGTTTTGACTCAACTGGAGCGAAAGGATTTCCTTATTAAAACTATTTTATACTAGATTTTAAATTTTAAATTAATTTAAATTAAATTTAAGTTTCTACGAATTAACTTTTTATAGTACTATAGGTAACAAAAATTTAGAGAATTTAATTTAGCCTCTATGAGGCATTTAAGAATAAAAATTTACTGCACTAGATGTTTATACTTCTTTGGCTGCCAACTATTCAACTTCATTCGGGACTTGGTGGACTGCTGCATCATGATCTTCACGCAAGGGATTCTCCCTTCTTTCACGAGTTTTAGGAATTTGCCAATGAGTTGGCAAATTTCTTTTATTGGATCACCTCTGAGTGTCTGTAGTAACAACCAATCGAAATTGGCTCCTGTTTTTCTACCGATCCAATCGAGGACAAAGTTCCTTACCTCTGCCTTGACACTGTTCAGTAATGTTCTGCATCGGAAGATGTGCTCTAAGGTTTCATCTTCACCTTGACATATTTATACTACATTGCCAGTCTCTGTAGCCCTGCTTTCCTGCCTTTTCTATGTTACCACATCTGACTCTGCACCAAGCTAGCTTTATCCAACTTGAGGTTTTTCTGTCTAAACAATACGGTTCAGTTCCCATACTGGTCTTGAGGAATTTGAACCTTGGGTTGTATGATGATTCCATGGTTTTCTTGTTCTCTTCCTCTCTCAGTGTAGCTTGAAGATGACATAAGCCCTCCTGCATTATCTGCTCTATGATACCCACTTCCTCCTTTTCCCATATCATCTTTATAATGTCCTATTACAACGTATCTCTTCCAGAACTTTGGTCAACCTGCTACCCGATTTGGATGACTTACCATTCAAAATTTCTCGGTATTCTTCTCTCAGTGCGACTTTTGGTCATCTGTTTTCCTCCTTTCTCAGCACTTCTAGAAGATACCTGCTTGCTCTCTCCCTGCAGATGTACTTTAAATTTTCAAGACCTCCCTCACTCCTCCAGATGTACTCAGGAGTGTTTTTCGCTAGTCCCATCGCTGCCTTACCGTATCTGTTGTACGCTGTTCCTATTACCTTGCTGCCTTCCCATAGATTGCTTTACTAATAAATCAATTTAATGTGAACTTTCTCTCGTGAAAACATGTTTTTTTCAATGTTAGTAGAAAATGGAATGAGTTTTGAAAAAATAGATTCCACAACTTTTTTCGTTATTTTTGCATTGAATATTTAATGACCATGAAAACATTTGGATTTTTAATTTAATTTTTAATATGCCCGTGTCGAGTCAAAATTTACAAAAAATTAATTATTTGATATAGTTAAATTGCCGTCTTCTAAAGTCTTTGAATTTATCGGCATCTAAATGCTTTAATTTATCCTTGATTCAATTACTCTGCTTCAGAAAATGTCATTGAGTCATCAATAAATAACTAATCCATATTATAGGCCGTCAATAAAAATTATAAAAGACGAATACTGTTCAATAGCAGCTAGTTTTTGGAAATTCACAAACTTTTAATATTTCTACTTCTGATTTGTCGAGAAGAATTTTCAACTAATCTGCTTTTCTACAATAAAATTCTTGTCTTTGCCTGATTAAAAAATTTTGTCCCATTACACATGTAAGTCATGTATAAGATTTTCTATAATCATGCATAGACTACAAATAGAGTTATTTACAATTATGTTCAATTACATAATCTGGATTCATATAAATAGTCATATAATTGGAATTGATACCATATATCAGCGACGGTCCGGGCCAACCCATCCTACTGTCAAATTTTGCAACTTTAGATCAGTTGATAGTTGGTTATCTCCTTGAAAAAAAAGTATTGAAGATTTAAAAAAAATTTTTTTCTTAAATTAATCATGAGATATGATTTTTTAAATTTCGCTTATTTTTTTTTTTTTAAGTAGATATAAATTAGTATAAATTATTTTTAATTCAACCTTTTTTTAAATTCCCTTATTGAAAAAAGAGCCGATTTGAAAATTTTGCCCCAATTAAGGCAATATTTATATAGTATTTATTCAAATGGAGTCTTTTTATTTAAAAGTTCAAATATGATTTTTAAAATGGTTTTTAAATTAAAATTTTTTTCGAATAATCCTATAGTATACTAGTTATTGAAGAGCGAAATGAACGGTACGAGAAAGAGAAGGAGAGACCCCACACACTTTTATAAATTATTACGTAAAAAATTAACTGATTATGATGCGGCTGAGAGCGTTTAAAGGTTCGAGGCAATTTACTCAAGTAGCTGCAGAATAAAAATATTTCAAGAAAGACAGAAAACTTGAGAAAAAAAGATAGTTGATAACGAAATCATAATAAATATACTAGTAGCAGAGTAATGTCATAGATAAGATAAGAAATATGTTGAGATTTATATTCACTCCTTGGCAGCAATTATTTTTTGTTTAAGCAGTAAATAGTCGAAGCTGGAACCTCAACTTTATTTAAAGTAAATTTAACTTCTCATTTTGAGTGTATTTAAATTTCTAGTATTTCAACAAATTACCATGGCCGAAAATTCAGGAGATCAAATGAAAATCAATCAAGTAACGCTTTTTACTCCAACGTTAAACGAAATAAAAAATGGTATTTATAGAAAAAAATTATTTATTAACCATTTATCGAATGCCTATTATGTGTAAATAATTTTTTTATCATTTGTGTTCAGTTATTACTCCAGCACTTGCTACAAATTTTGAAGAAATTGCTGTGGATGTAGTAGATTGTCCAGATTTAACGAAAGTACCATTTCAATTAGCATTTGAAGGTGTGTTTATAGAGAAAAAAAAAAATAATCAAGTTATATAATCAATTGCATGTTTTTTAGGGCTTGGTGGACATCCAAAACTCTTTGATATTGGAGGACCACCTTTCCTACTTCCGTCAGTTCAAAGGAATAAAATTTATGATGTTCAAACAATTTTGAAGCAAATCAATTATAATAATAAGGCTTTTGTTATTGGAGCAGGTGCTGGTCCTTGGCCACAATTATCTCGAAATTGTGAAGTATACGAATTAGAATTTTTATTTTTTAGAGCTCATCATTAAAAAATATTAAATTCGAATATACTTTTCGTCAAACATAATAGATGGTATTTGAGATGGTTTTACATTGTACTTTAGAGGAAACCATTCTTTGCCATCAATTATTTTTTCTCTGCTTTCAATTCTATTAGCCCTTCATCCCTTATTTGTTTATTAAGGGTCCAAGCTCTTATTTCAGCTTTTTCCTCCGACAAATTTTATAACATTTTCTTTTTACCATATCTTTTCATGACACTAAAAAAAAAAATGTCTTTCGAAAAAGTATATTTTTTTCTCTTAGTGTGTTGTATAGTAAATGATCAACTTTTACAAATGAAACAATGACATCAAATCTATTTACTTGTAGATGATGATGAATGTCGTAATTGATTCGGATGAGATCAAAAATCAAACTAAACTAGCATGGGTCGGAGATGACAACCAGTGTGTCCTTCAGAATTGTAAAGAATCCGACACTAGATTAGCATTACTAGCTAATTTATTTGTTTCTGAAGGAAAACCAGGAAAAGTTATAAAAGTTTATGCTAAAACTCGTACTGGAAATCTTGATTTTATTACAACAATCCAAAATGCATTGTCTGCAAGATATAGAGGTCAATTAGTCGGCAAGTATCATTTATATTAACGTTTGAATTGATTTTATTATTTTTTTTTTTAATTAATCTACTTCAATAATTAAGGTATGGGTGGAACATTCCTTATTAAACAAGGAAAAGTTAAGCAACACGTTATGCCAGATTTTTCACCAGTACCATTAAATAGTGAAAAATCTCTAAATGATTGGCTACATTTTTATAATATGTCAGCACCATTAGTTGCCGTTGGAACATTAGTATCAGCAGAAAGTAATTTGGACCTTCGTGTTCAACATTTCCATAGTTTCAGTGATCATGGTGAGGGTGGTCATTATCATATCGATGTAACTCCTGATACTGTTGAATATTTAGGATACTTTAACATAGCAGATTGCTTGTACCGAATCGATCAGCCACCTAAAAGTGTTTTATTTGGTAAAGATTAGTTGCCCAATATATTTTTAGTTTATCTTGAAAATGTTTTTATATAGTTATTTGATACAATGTTTACCTACATAAAATTTTAAGAAGTGATTAGAGCAATGAAAAATCCCTTATTTTATTACTGCAATATTGTATTTATAAATAAATTATACTCCAAATTTTATACATATAACTGAGTGTCATTATAAATATTATGAAAAAATATTTTTATTACAAGTTTATCATGACGTTACAAATCATTTTTAGTACATTTATACAGAAATCTAACTATTATGTTCGATTTTAAGAAACAAAACTTCACGATAACATGTCCTAAATAGTCAAGCTTATTCAAAAGTTTGAATTTGTAAGTATTTTATGTATAAGTCTATGTGTGTACACATATTACTTGCGCTACTCATAATGTAAAGCACTAGAGAGTACTTAATTAATACAAAATTTTTTTCATTTTTCATAACTATAATTATTATTTATCGTTATAATCTTGTTTACCAAAACCTGAATGTTTTGCATACCAATGAATAGATAATTTGAAAAAAATGGTGAAAGACCAAAATAATCGAAAAAAATTGTCATTTAAGGTAAAAGCCCCAATAGATGATCACGTACCAGTATATGATCACTCCATGTATTTGTATATTTATATTCATATATGTAGGTATTCAAATACATGGAGTGATCATATACTGGTACATGATCATCTATTGGGGCTTTTACCTTATAGGGTATAAAACTTGAAAAACACAATTATATTAAAAAAATATATTATTTCTTAAACGGCTAAACATTCTACAAAGTGGTAGTGCAGTAGTTATAATTCAACGCTATTTGTCTTCAGGTAAGATCTCTTCATTTTTGAAAATGTGATTCCGATATGTATGCATGAATAAATTGATTTAAAATAAAGAAATTATTATAAATCTAAAAGTAGTGATTGATCAGGCGCTAATGATGATAAGTTTATTTTCATTTTATACATTTCGGAGTTCTCATTTAGAATTAAAAGATTTATCAATGATACAAAATTGAATGTAAATTTCAAATTAACAGCGCTCTGATCTAGAATGTGATCAAACTAATTTTACTATTTCTAGCTTCATTATGTGGTGAAAATTTGAATATTTTTTAGAAAAATCTCTTTTTATATTATTAAGTTGGTCATTAATGTATTATTACAAATTTAACTGCATTAAAACATTCCATCATGGATACCAATAGGAATTAAAACAGCAATAAATATTAACAAATTACGAGCCACTAATTTCCAATCATTTGGCACTGCATATGGTGCAAGAATAAGCGTTAACTCATGAATCTGTGGACGAAAATTAAAAATTTAGTAACACTTTAAACATTACAATTGATATTTCAAATAATTGGGTACCTTATGACTAGCACATATGAAGATAAAAGACGTAATAAGTAAATTAAGAACTGGAAATCTTGGAAGAAGCACAAGAACTCCATGAGTATCAGCCGCTAACCAAACATGCCCTTGACCAACGAGAGTTTCCAAACTTATTTTTCCAATCCCTGCTAAAAGTACTGAATATTTTCCTCTGAGTGCAAACGAAGAATTTCTTAATACGATATATCCAATGATCTATAAACAAAATATTTTTTTAGATAATTAATTAAATGAATATTAGACGTTAAATAATTTTTTTCCTACCGGTATGAATACAATGTAGGAATGAATTTCTTCGCATTCTGAAACTGATACACATAACAATGTAAATATTGTATAGGCTGCAAGTGAAACAAGTGCTATTAAAGGAATAAAAACATTTCCAGGAATATGATCAATTCTTTGGAGAGCTAAGAGTCCTGCTCCAAATGCAACCCCAAAAGCAACGCTGTATCTATCTACTCTCCAACGAGACCACCATTCTCGAATATCATCATCAGTTGTTACAAAAAGAGCTTTCCAAGGCCTAGTGACAAACACTTTTTCGAAGAAAACCTAGTGAACAAAATATTTCATTCGCAAAATCATCATTATGCTTAACACTATTACTGCTTACAAAAATAATAAATTTAATCAGTTAATATCAATTCTTACCTCAGACATATAGAGAATAGTAATAACGAAAATGAGTCCTAAAAGTTTTAATGCTAAATAAAGCAATGCACGTGAGCCATATTCTGCTAAACTTCCGGAGTGCACTCTGGGTGGTAACCAAGCTAAGATGTAGACAATTAGAAACCAAAAAGATACCAATGGTACAAAATGATAAAATTGGTAAGGTTGATTCATCAAAAGACAGAGCAAAACGGTAAGCAAATTTAACCGAAATAGAACCTAAAAAATATATTTAGTTTGTTAAATAATAGTGGAGAATGCATTTAGGATGAATTAATAAAGTATTACTTCTGATTTTCCAAGTAATGTTATGAATTTGTCATAAAAGTTATAAAATAATTTTTCATTGTTTGTATATTATCGTGGTATTATCACTATACCGTAGTAATTGGAAGTTTGAAATTATTGTTACCGCAATTTGTTTAAAAAAATGTATTATTTAAAATAAATAATATAGTATCGCTATGTTAGTGTTTTCGAGTTTTGGAATAGCTATAACTTATATTGTTTATTTCAAACTAATGAATTTTTGTAACTTATACGAGTTTTAACTATTAATATAATTAATAGAAAACATAACATTTCTCTGTAAGTATACAACAAGATATTTTTGTGCAAAAAAAAAAAAATAAATTTCTTAGTAGTATCAATTTACTTACAAGCTAATATAAAAATGATAGATACTAACTCTTGCAAAACGTACAAGTGAAACATCTCCTGTTTGCCAAAAATAACAAAAATGTCCATATCCAGAAAGAAATAAGTAAGCAGAATTAATTAATCTCAGGTGCATGTATATAGGTAAAACATTTTTAGCGCCTGTGACATGATATATCAGAACAACTGATTGCATTAAACCACGCCATTCATCTGTTTGCTCTCGATTAAGAGCTCGAGGGCCTCTTTCACAGTCCTCCGTAAAAAAAAGTCCTAGAGCTAAAATATACCCTAGCGGCAACCAAAAGCTAAATTCACTGTAATACTTATTTTCTTTCATAAAAAAGTTTGTTCTGAAACCAAAGCGTTTATAGATATAGTTAAAAAAAAACTTTTCGTTTGGTAAATAATGAATTATAAATATAAAATATAAATAATCATACCTATCACATAAGTAGAAATATCCTAAAATACATGCAAGTATTGCTAAAGATGTAATCAATGTATAAAAATCTTGGCATGGTGCTTCATTTTGTGTAATTTCAGATGCATTTAAATCTTCTATTATATCAGAAACTTCTTCAGTTGCAATGCGACCATAAAAAGTTTCAGATTTATTATGACATACTTTTTTATAAAGCCATAAACTAGCACCAGCTACAGTCCAAAATATAAGCATTAAAATGGTAACTAGTTGTAACGTAGTCGTAACTTCAAGATTACTGCAGCAAGTTCCATCATCAAAGTTCATATAATCGTTACAATAAGTATTTAACAAAATTTGTACTTTGTGCCGAAGAGAAAGTGGACTCGATAAATATCCATCAGGACTTTGTTCCAAAACTCCTTGTCCTATGAGTTTACTACTTTCCCACAAACGAGTTTGACTATGTATCAATACCTAAAATTTATTATTGTAACAATTCTACTAAAAATTATTATTTTTTAGAATAGAAAAAATTGAAAAAATACTTCAACAGCTGCTTTGTTACAGATATTGATAAGATTGTTATCAATACTAGCAAAGTGCGCGGGTAGATTTTCTTTCACAATGGGATCTTGCAGCATCCAAAGAAATTGGGTACCTTTCTTTGCCAATACATCAGCCGGTTGAACAAGCTTAATAAGTCCGGAGCTATAACTTTTATATAAATTTTTACTATCACTTAGATTGCTGTTAAGAATATCAAAAGCTCCACAACCGGCAATTATCATAGTTGGAGCATCTTCTTTCTGAAAGCGTAAGTAAAGTGTCATTTTTTATACATCCAAGATAAAATTTTAACTCTTATAAAATCATAGATCACTTTATTTGTAAAATTACACAAATTACCCCCGTAAAAAAATTTTTTCATATAACACTACACACATGCGCGAAAATATAATTCCAAATCTTTTGAAATTTTCAACTCTTTTATTATTAAAATAAGAATTGTTCGTCATATTTAAATGATTGATATTTATGTAATTAATAAATACATTTACATTAGTTGATTGCTAGATACGCGCAACTCTCGGGACGAGCCTCAACAGAGCCAAAAAAACTGTAAATTAGTGTTAAAAAAAAAAAAAAAAACGAATATTTTTTATACTAAATATACTTTGAAAGCTTAAAAAAAGTAGTATTATATATTTTTTTGGATTAACAAGTTTTTTAAAACTTATGTGTTTATCTGATCACATGGAGACAAAATTAATTTAAAATGTTTAAATCTCGACAAATTTATTTTTTGTTCAAAGGTAGATACTTAATGCGTTTTTCAAACCAGATTTTTTATAAAAAAAAAATTGGTTTAAAAAACTGTCCCTAACAATGAGGTATAGTCGTGAATTACGATTAATCCTAATCTACGCGTTACAATATCTAGTTAGCAGAAAATGACTAATTTTTGTTGTAAGTAATAAATTTATGATTTTATCTTATCGTTTATAATATTAATTACCATCCAAGTTCGAAAATCATTGATCATTGATATATTCAACTGAGGTCTCCATAAAAATTGAACTTGTAATTTTAATTTAGCATCATTAAAATTCGAATTTGATTGCTGGAGAACATCTGTAGAATCGAAACCTTTCCCATCAACTATAAATTGTGAAATAAATGATTTATACAACTGGTGAATCCGAGCATCTCCGACAAATACAAAATGATTTTTGTGACGCATGAAAGCTAAATATCGCAAACATCTTCTGCTGTCTCTAAAATATAAATATATCATTCACACAACGTGAATCCGTGTTTATTTTAAATGCTTAAAATTTTGATAAATAAAATAATTCACGTTTGCGTGTAATGATGAATCATGCATCCGTAAGGTTGCCATTCTCTATCGCCTTTATATCGACCTTCTTTTAGCAGCCACTTACAGGAGTCACTACCTAGAGAAAAAAAAAAAAATTTCAACACATGATTTAGCACATGTAATAAATTAAATTAATTGGAAAATGATTTACCGTATATTAAATGTATCATTCCATGGTAAAGAATAAAGCAAATAACCAAAATAGCCGCAATTTTTTTTGCACTTGCTACGGTTACTAAACTTATAAAATGCTCAGCAGCAGTCATGAATGGTTTATGTCAAGATTACTATCCTATGAATAATTTTGTGCATTTTCAAAAATTACATATGGCTATTGACATAATTCTGTACGAATTCATTTTCATAAGAATCAGAAAAAAAAATAAAAACATTAATGTATTTAAATATATACATGTATGTGTGTATGCATATAATAGAATCAATTAAATAGGTAGTTTTCCAATTACGAGAGCACAATGCGACTCATTGCCGCACGGTGCCGCATTAGCACAAGTTTAATTGAAACAGATTAGTTAAGAAATGCAGCAGTAGATCGGGTTGGTATTGCTTCGTTTTGAACAAAAATTCGAAAGTTTGGCAATCTAAAAATCTAAATATTTGTTTACCTGTATATTTAAATCTTTAAAATCTTTGAAAACATTCATGTTAAACAGCTAATTCAAAATCATATCATGACAATGCTTACAAATATATAAAAATCTAAAAAATGATTTCATTTTATAAAGATAAAAGAATAGAAAGAATATAAATTCGCTTAAGTTAGTCATCAATAATTAAATATTAGATATAAAAATATGATAGTTAAATATAATTTGTGTTATTGTATATATTTAATTTTATTGCAATAATAATTATTTATCAACAATAATAAAATACACTTACAATTGTCAAAAATAATAACTTTGATAGATAATAAGATAAACATTAATTATACCAACTCAATTCAAAAAAATACTTTTAATTTTATGTAGACTCGTTGGTAACTCTCACGCATAACATCCCTGAGCAGAGCAAAGGTTTTTTGAGTGTCCAACTGTGCGAAGCGTTGCTGTTTTGCTGTTATTGGAACACTCTAAGCTGCGCACAATGCCGCATTATGCGCTCTAGTGCTGTAGTTGGAAAACTACCTTAATCAATAATAAGCATCGGTCATGATCAGGGTTAAAACGTATAACCATGCGTAACCGATACTTTCTTACTTTCTTACGGTAAAATACGTTCATTTTCGTTGATTTTCGGATTTTCGTACATAGTACATACATTTCATTGATTGTTGTGTCATCTAGCGACTATAATGAAAAATTGCATGTTCCACCATGTCACTTATTTATTTAAAAAAAAAAAAAATCATCAAAAAACAATTTTATAATTAAAAAATTAAATTACAAAATCGTTGAATAAAATTTAAGAACATAATTAAGAAATATTTTGGCGTCCATTATCATTTATTCTTTTATAAAATAGCAAATTAGATTACCTATGTAGTTATTTATACGGCTAAGTATAGTTTTTGAGTTTCATCGAGATATTTAAGCGACAAATTTATATTATGAGAAACTAAATATAAATAATAGATAAAACCAATATTTTGAGAATTTGGAATAAGAAAATACAGTAATTCATGATTACTTAGGTATAGTTTTACTCAACGTATTTTCACAATTATTAGTTTTCTATTTCTAATCCATTTGAATTTGAGAATAAAACATAGCTTCTGAGAAAGAATAGATGAGAAATTCTCGGAAGTTTTATATTACTTCTGCTAAACTTTTTTCCAAAATATAATTAGAAAACTAAGAATTTTGAAAATATATTAAGTACTGCCTAAACTTGAAAAATATTATAAAAGGAGCACGCTTTAATGGATGGCACGTTTAAAATATAGTTCTGATTCTGCAGTCAAATATTATATTTACGAATAAGTTACGTTTTAGAATAAGTTTCAAAATTTCAATAATCGATACTTCTACTTTACCCATCAATATCCAAAATAAAAATTTTCGAAGAAATTATATTTAAGACAGCTTGAACTCTTATTTAAAAGTTCAGAAAATCGATTTCTTCGGTAGTCTTTTTTTTTAATTAGACTAAAGAATTTTTTAGTTTAAAATAAAAAAAATATTATTTCCTTATTAACTAAATTTCTATTGATTTTGAGTTAAAATTTTTGTAAATATAATCTAAGTAATTAACCATTGAATTAATTTGAAACTTTCCGCCTTCTTTCTCTGCGCGCTACACGTTAATGGGGCTGTTCTGTGGAGCTACATGCGCGTTGCGGCTGAGTGTTACTTCGAAAATAATGAGATTCTATATAGTAATACTGCCTTTAAAATGAGGCAATTGAAATTATTGAAATTATTGAAAGGCCAAACAGGTGTAAACAGGAACGGTGTATGACAACATTAATATATCAGCTTATTTAAAAACGAATAAGAAGCTCAAAATAAATACATTGATTAAAATAAATATATAAACATATATTTATTTACTCGTTTATGTAAAGAGACATTATAGTCACACTTGGTGCTGTTTCAAGCAGATCTTATTAACATTGCGCTAAAAAAATGCAATCATTTCAAATACTTACTGGTAATTTAATAACACTCCAAAACCGAAAATAATAATTATAATAATATATAAACGTCACATAATTTGCTGATAAATCATTTTCAATTAGCCAACAAGATTCAACCACATCGAAATGAAACGAAGTAATAAATGTCGTTGTGACAATTAGGTAAGATAATTTAAATTTATTTTACAATGAGATTGTTAATTAATTAAGTTAAGTTGTGTGAACAATATATAAAAACAAATAAAACTCACAATAAAACGAGTTTAATAATAATATTATTATTGAAAAATTTTGCCTGAAAATTAACTAAATTTATCTCCATTTGGATAACCTTTTCAGAAAAATAGATGGTTATAAACGAACGTCATTCAATATAGATAATCCTGTTAATTATTTTATGAAATGCGAATTCAAGAAATTTTAAATTTCAAGTATGTTTTTTTGCTACTTATGTTATTTGAATATATTACTCAAGGTTTCGGCTTAGAAGTAATTTATGCAATTAATGCTGGTGGCGAGACATTCACCGATAGTTTTGGGATCAAATATATGCGGGATCCGTTGATGGGAAAAGTTGGAACTGCTTCAGACTATGGAAAACAATTAATTATTGGCCGCATAAGTCCTGCAGATCAAACTTTGTATCAAACCGAGCGATATCATCATTCTACTTTTGGCTACGATATTCCTATTAATGAAGATGGCAAATATGTAATGATACTAAAATTTTGTGAAGTCTATTTTAATTCACCAAACATGAAAGTATGATGAAAAATTTTTAATTAAATTGTTTTTTTAATTAAAATGACTACTGTAATGAAACTGTTTTTTCTTCTAGGTCTTTGATGTTGTACTAAATGGTGATCACACTGTTGTTACTGATTTAGATATTTTTGAAAAAGTTGGAAGAGGTGTTGCTTATAATGAGTACATTCCTTTTACAATTCAAAAAGGCAAATTGATATATAATGATGAGGAATCTGATATTCTTGGTGGAAAAATTCGGGTTGAATTTATTAAGGTAATGTAAATTTTTCATAATTCCTTTAAAATAGACGATGAGGCTCTAATGTTCAGGCACCAGTTTTTTTTTTCTACATAAATTATACAACAAATATTTTATTAAGGAAAATCTTCAAGGTGACTGATCCTGTAAGCCATCTTTGAAACTTTTTACTATTTTTAAATTCTCGCTTGAAGTTAAGTCTACCTGAGTCTAAATCAAATCTTGGATCTCGTTTGCTTCGCCTTACTTTTCTTTTCAAATCTCGACTTTTCTTACTTGAATCACTTTTTCATTTAACTTAAAAGTTAAATGAAAAAGTGATTCAAGTTTTAAAAAACTTGATCGCTTTAATTTTAACTTATTTGTTTTAACCAATGGCTTGTAGTAAATCGGAGTATCTAGGACAAAACTGAATAAAACGGAACTGGGCAGCCTAAATAAGGCACAATACTAAACCTGTTGTTAATAAATTTAATTCTACAAGAGATTAGTGGACTTTAAACAATTGAAGTTTTTTTTTAACAAAACTGACACATAAGATAGAATTGGACATCGAAAATTTGTTTGTATTTTTTCTGAGAAGTACATTTAAGGATGAAAATATTTTGAAAGAATCCTTTCTCCTAGTCAATTTTTAGAAAAGTTGTGATTATAAAAAAAAAACTATTTTTTTTTTACTGGTAACTTTTTGTCGATCAAGTAAAAAAAAATTTATTAAATTCTGATAAACTTTCTTAGTATGGTAGAAAAAGAAAATAAATCTTAGATAAACCAAAAGGAATTGAGTGAAATAATTATTGACTTAATATGGAATCAAATCACTCATATATGCTTGCACATAATATTTAAGTATAGCTAATGAATAAGGAGTGGGTACTGATACTCTTATACTAGAATACAAAAATATATTATATATCTTTTTTATATTTAGCTATACTCTTTGGTTTGAAATGTCCTGCAGAATGCCATGTCTACTCAAAATTTCTCTATTACAGACCAACTCTACTTAAAAATAAATAAGCCTAACAGGTCTACTGAAAAATTTTCGTAATCTACAACTATCAGTCAAAATTGTTTGAAATAAAATTGAATTGGAAAACAGTTTTTTTGGAATAGGGTAATTTTTTAGTAGACTTGTTAGGCTTGATTATTTTTGAGTAGAGGTGATCAATAATAGGAAGGTTTTGAGTAGACATGGCACTTTACCAAATGCTCTATGTATAAAACTTATTTATTTATTTTCTTAATTCTATCTTATATAATATAATCGTAATATTTCATTTCTAGGGTTATCGAGATAATCCTAAGATAAATGCTATAGCTGTAATCAAAGGTGTTTTGGATGGTGCGTATTACATTTTATTACAAATTTTATATTTAATGAATATAATGTCTTTCTTTTTTTTCAATAGAAATAAATATAACACATACGTGTAAAGTTTTGCGCCTCTCTAATAGATTTAACACAAATGAAAAAATTTCTTTAATGACATACAGAAATGGTAGATTTTAATTTTCCGATAGATTTTTCAAAAATTGATGGTATTGTAATTGTCTTAATAACGTGACTTTTAGAAACATCTCTACAAGACAGTTGAAGCTGTCGAGTATCTTCAGATAATATCACTAGTTAAAAAGGTGATTATCGATGTTTTCGATGAAAATATGCAGGGATGAATTACCAAGTTGGATGATAATTTTTTTAATTTTCCGCTATAAAAATCGATAATTTTCAAACAACTGGAAAGTTACTGATTTCATCTCGATTTTTGAAAATGAGCTCATCAAATCTCCAGGTTTTAAAGTCTTAAGGAGCTATTCTGACTACTTTTACGAGAATGTCAATGTTATCAGTACATCTGTAACTTTCTCATTCGGACTCGAAAATTTTTAAGTCGTATTTGTGAGCGTGAATAGCTGAAAAGTTTTGAGTTTGAAAATAGCAGCAAGTTCCAGGGTCTATCCAGAGCCTCCTGGGTCAATCGATTTAAATATTTTTTTTTCTTAATAATTAGATATCAGCTAAAAACGAATTCCGCGACAATTGACTTCATATGGAGATTGTGTCAGAGTGCTGAGTAGAATAGAAAAAATGTTGTTGTTTATGAATTAAGACTTTTTGAAACATGAAATTTAGGACTTGTCTATTGAATTTAAATAAATTTACTAAAAATTTCCTTACAACAATCATCTCTTTGGCAGCGGGGAAAGTCATTTTAAGGTTTCTAAAACTTAACATTACATGTGGTTTTTTAGTCAACGGACTAAGAATTTTACATACATGTTATTTTTGCTGATCACATAACTGATGAATTGTTCTAATCGCGGGATCGCGATACTCAAACACTTGATATGTGGAAAAGAAATTTGACTCCGTATTTAAATAAAATTCGTAAAAAACATGTAAAATTAATTTTCTATAAAAAATTGATGTCACTGAGAAAATTTTAACTAACAGAAAAATTCGTCGCACTTGAAGCTAAGTAGATTTCAACTTCACTTATGAGACCTGCAATTACTTTAACTGAAACTTTCAATGCTCATTTGGAATCTGTGCAAATCAAAAAAACAATACTCCAATGAAATTCCGAGTCTAGATCTAAAAATGCAATTCCATAAAGCGTCCAGCGGAGTAGGCGGATAACAGCTAGTAACTATTAATTTAGGAAATCCATCTGTTATTCTGGCTGTTAGATGACATTTTTTTTCTCATAAAATGACTCTTTATACTCGAGATTTAGAAATATATATATATATCTATAATGAGAAATAAAGAATTTACTTGACATGGTTTTTTTTTTGTTTACAAATAATTTTTTTTTATATTTTGTTAAATTTGGGAGACACTGAATCGATCAGTATCAAAATCTAATCAGTACAAAGGCTAGATAAAAAACTTATAATTTTTATGAAATCTATTGTAATGGATTAACTTATTTGGAAGATAACACAAACGACAGATTTAAAAAAAATTATCTTTTTATGATTTCTAATTAATATTGATATTTACTATATCCAATAAATAATTTCAGAATTTTTCAAATAAAAATAAATTCTTCTTCAATTCCTTTCGAATGTATGATGGGCTCAGAACTAAATAGGTATAATTACGAAAAAAAATTTTTATTTTAATATTTTTTTCTTTAAGAGTAGCCTTTTTTTAATTCAAAATCAGTGTAAACCGAAAAAAAAAAAATTTTTTTACTGATCACTTTATATTTTTTTAATTATAACCCCTTGATCTATGAAAATGTTATAGATGTTCCAAAATTAGGCCCAATACCTCCTGAACCTGAAGAATACCATGGCGTACAAGAAGGTGAAGAAGAATCACCAATAAAAGCTAGGCATCCAAGTGGTCCACGCACGCCGGATCCATATTCTATTGATGATTCTTCAATTATGCTACCTGTCTTCGTTGCTATTGGAGCATTTATTCCTCTTTTATTTTGTTTATGTAAACTTTAAGTATTGTGTAATTAATATGTTAGAAAAAGTGAGGCTACAGTAAAGAAAAAGTTTACATGCTTAGTTATGGAACGTTTTCATCACAATTTTATTCACATGCAATTTTTGAAGACGTATTACAAAAATATTATTTTTTATATCTATAGATGCTTTGAGTAGAAGGTGAAATGGTAGAGGCAGTATATAGAAATTATTTGAGTCATGGTTGAAAAAACAAAATAATGTACTTAAATTATTCAATTTAGTCTTTGAATTTTTTTTTTATTCATTTTCATAGATAAATAAGTGTATATGTAAATGAAAAAGTTTATACAATTAAATGTAAATATTTTAAGTTAAAAATATTTAAATATAATAATTAAATTTATCAAGGCATGTTGAAATTTATGACAGCTCATAATAATTATACAGTCAATGTCATAATTGACAATAAAAAATTTATTATCAAATATTATTTATCTGCTTAATACTACACATTGGTATAAAACTTTTTTTTCTTTTCAATAAACCACTTTATATTCAAGTGTTCTTATAGAATGAAAGTACAAAATTCACAATTTATCAAAGTAAAAATCAATCATATTTAAGATGATAAAAAAAACAATGATAAATATTTTATCAGCTCAATAAATTTATTTTTTGCATATCCTCAAAAAAGACTAAAAATATAACAATTATCAATTTTAAATACGAACAATCTACATTTTATGATTGAACTTTGGACTAAAGGCTTTAACCATCAACTCATTTACTTTATAAATGATTAAGCCGTTGTTGAAGAAATTAACTCTTTCAGTCATAAATAAGCTTATTCATCTCATATAAAAACATGCGCTCATGTGATTGTCAAATATTCAATTCACTATTCAAACATAAAATTATAAGTTTTGCTACAATAAAATACAAAAAAAAATAATAACTTCAAATTATTAATTTCTGTTTTTCAATTATTCAATAATTTTAGTTAATTTCCTTCTTAAAAATGATAGTTAACTCTGAAAATTGCATGAGTTGCTCAATAAAATATTTATAGTTTATAATTATATTGTGATATATAAAATAGTATGATTTTTTCATTTATTAATTTTTTTAATTGTCAATAATATTGATTAAAAACTTTCGAAATATTAAAAAAAATTGACTGTAAACTATTATTTTTAGTCGCTGTTTTATTGAATAATCATTTAATCCGCTAATAATTTTTATCAAAGTCTGGCCACTTTTGTAAGTGTTTTAATGAGTGAAGATAAATTGTTTGAACTTAAAAAGCAAGATAGAGACGAAGATAAGCGAAGGGAAGCTCAAAGTATAATGTATGTAGTTAACTAAAGATCTTTTTGTATAATATAGTAGTGGGAGTAAATTAATCTAAAAATCAGTTTGCTTTCAAAGATACTTTATAATTTGTTCCTTTGATTCATCGCGAGGGGACAGAAGAACTGTTTTGTCCATTTATAAGTGCTAGTCTTGATCGTGACGGTATCAGTATATTCAAATCCGCCTTGAATACTTCATCTACTCTATTGAAGATGGTACAAATTGTTGGAAAGTACGAGCATGAATCGAGCAAGGGTTTGGAAGAATACCTTAAAACTGTTGGTGGAGCTGAAAATCTAGAAGCTTCAAAAGTTTTTAGTCAAGGAAAACCAACGTTTGAAATCAGTCAAAGTGGTGATCATTGGATTATTACTGTTTCAAATGAAGGTAAAAGTTCGACTACTAAATTTATCTTAGGAACTCCATATGATGAAACTATGCCTCATGGTCTGGTTCTTAAAGTAAGTACTGTATCTATTTACTTATTTTTTTTTAATTTTTAGATAAATAGATTAGTATTGATATTATTTTTTAAATATCGCTTAGTACAATATGCGGCACAAAAATTTAAAGAGAAGTAAAAAAAAAAAATATAATTTATTCCAGAGTATAACCACCCGGGAAGGAGATAAATTTGTAACCGTATCCGATCTTCCTGATGGTAATAAGTCAATTCGTGTTTATCAATTCACTGATGCTGGTATCTCTGTTGTAAGTATTCATGCATTCAAAATTAAAATTCTCTATAAATAATTTCTAATTACAAATATTTCAACTTACATAAGTAATTGTGGTTATTAAATTAAAAATAAATATTTTTATATTTAATTAAAAAATTATTTCAGCATTTATCGGAGAACAAACATGGAGTTAAAGCTGAGCGTGTCTATAAAAGAGTTTAAATGTGTATTATATACCAATATAACGTGATATTATGACAATAAAATTTTCATCAAAATAAAAATTAAAATAAAAATCATTATTTAAAAAATATTAATTTGTTCAAAATTTTTTTTATAACCTTTATTCAATTTATTTATATTTTAAAATTGATTAAAAATAGTAATGAAATATCAGGTTTAAAAAAATGGTTACTACAAAATAAAGTATAAGTCTATAAATATAAGGATACGCACATTTTGTCATAGCATTACCTTTCTTTATTTCACCTATCTCATTGTTTTTACTCAAGTGAATAATTTTACAATTCATGACTTTTTTTTTTTTTTTTTTTTTTTTTCCATAAATAAGAATAATGTTCATAGCAAATAAAATTAACGAAAGATGAAATAAATCGAGCTCTGAACAAAAATTTTGCTTACATTACAATAATTAAAAATATATAAATCTAACTCATGTTTATTTATTATTTATTACATAACTATATTTATAACTTTTAATTGAATTATCGTTATCATTCATCTTTTGATAAAATCTTTAATTATTTGTTTCCGATAATTTAAAGTACGCCAATACATGATGAAAACAAAATTCAAGTTTGAAGCAAGGAGTATATATTTTATTGTTTTTTTTTTTCTTTCTTTCATAGCTTACTTACGATATTTTTTCTCTTTTTATTTAAAAATGGATTATAGTTACTTCAAATACTGTAGATATGTACATGAGAGAAGTATCAGGTTTTTTTATTTTTTTTTTTGTTCTTTCGTTTTCGTTTGATTATTAATTGAATTTTCTCGAATTTGCCGATACATTACAATCATGAAAAAAGCAAGCTAAGTATACGATTTTTTGTGTTATTACATAGTTTATATTTTCAACGCATTCAGTTTATGTTTAAATAATTTTATTCATAGAAAAAAAATTTTTTTTTTAATAATTAGTATAATTAAAAAAACAGAAAGTGAGAAAGAATATAAAGAATTCGATGTCTTTTTAACTGAAAAATGGAAGTATAAAAATGAATATCTAGAATTCAGCAAAAGTACTGAAAAATCGAAACTTCGTTGTTCCCTAGTATCGCTGTTAGTCATCTATTCGTATTTTCGTTATAAATTGTTCATTCATTAAATAACTATAATTCTTGACCGATAATTTGTTGATTCTCTATAGTAGGTGCAGATGAATCTTTTTCCGACACAGTTTCTGCATTTACAATCGTCACAGCAGACAAGGATTCTTCTATAACTTTTGTATTCTTTATCTCATTGACATTATTTGGTAATTGTGTTTTATTCACATTTGTTTTAATAGATGTTTTGATATTTTTAGCAGTTGTGCGTGTCAATGACGATTGTTGTTTGATTGTTCGAACAGTAGTGGTACTTCGTTTTGTTGTTGCTGAAACCGTAGTAGTTGTTGAATGAAGACCTTGATTACTTGCTCGTGAATTAGTAATAGGTGTGCGGTTTGATATTTGTTTATTGGCAGTTTCTTTGACATTTTTATCAACAATTGATGGTTTTGCAGGATTTGAAGTACGAGATTTGGTAGTTGTTAGTGCAGAAGGAGCCGTTTTGGGTCGTATATTAATTCCAGAAGACTTTACTTCTACAGTAGTTTTTAGTCCTAGTTTAGATTCAGTAGTCCCAACAGAAGATTTAGATTTTGTTGTTGTGGTAAGACGAGCAGAAGATACTGTTGATTTGACTAGAGGCTTTGAAGGAACATCAACCGTTGATGTCCGAGATTTTGGGGGTATTTTATTAGCTTTAGAATCTCCATTCGTTGTAACAGTTGATTTTTTTTCTGTATTAGTAGTCGTCAATGGGACTTTGGTAGCAGAAGATTTAGATTGAGATACAGAAGTTAATCGAGGAGCAGATTTTATTCCTGGTTTTGATGAAGGTTTGCTCAAAGTTGACGCTTTTGAAGCATCGATAGAATTTCCAGCAACACCAACTCCTGTTACCTTTTTTGTATCAGCAGATGAATTAGTAGAACGAGATACAACGCCTACTGGAGGTTTCGATGAAGCAGCAGACGTTACTCTTGTAGACGATTTCGTTGCAGAAGTTTTGGTGATAGTTTTGGATGATATTTTATTAGATTTTGTTTTTGCAGCAACAGCCGTGGTATTTTTCGCTTCAACAGCTGAAACTTTAATTTTTTCAGGGGATGGTTCTATTGTTTGATCTAAAGATTTTTCCGAATTCTCTACAACCGCATCTTTTGTTGTTAAAGTATCTTGTATTTGTGACTTTTCAGAAATTTTGTGAGAAATATTTTCCATTAAATCTTTATTATTTTCAGTTGGACTAAGTTCTTTTTCTAACCCGGTGAATTCTTGAAGTGACTTTGAAAGCTCCATCGATTTTTTGGGACTGACAGTTATATCCGTATTTTCTTTTTCAATAATTGAATTTTCTCTATTTTGAGCTTTTGTTGGAACTATATCAACGAGGAAATCAGTAAAATTATCACTTACTGAAACATCCGGCACATTGTCTTTTTCTTTATTCTTTTCTTGTTCTTCGTTTTTAAATTCGCATTCATTATTAAAAGCCGGTTCTGACTTAGTAATTACTTGAGTATTAATAGAATCGTGGGAAGCTAATTTTTCAGAGTCAGAAAAAGTATTTTCGTTACATTGATCTGTTAAATTAATTTCCTCTTGATGATGTTTTAGGTTTTTAGATTCATCACAAGAGATTAAGCAATTTTCTAATGACGAATCAAATTTATTTTGTGGTTTTTGAATTTCAACATTTTCTAGAGGTACATGTTGAGATTCAAGGAATAAAGATTCTGCTGGTTTTTGTTCAGTAAGTGGGGAATCATCTTGTGCCTGATCATTATTTTTTATATTGTCAGTATTATTCGTAAAATCATTTGTATTTTCTAAACACACTTCAGATAACTGTTCATTTTTTAAGTTCATAGCGGCAACTTGTGATATAATTTCATCTGTGTTATTTTCTATATCTTTAACGTTTAATTCCTCAGAAGGTGATAAGGTACACAATATATTATTATTAGTATTTTCATGTTCTAAAGGAGTTGATTTAAGTTGCAGTTCATTAGAATCTGGAGACTTAAGATCCAATGGTTGAGAATGGTCGTCATCTACTGGGGTTAAAGTTTGTTCTTTTTCTTCACCAAGAGAATTAATATCACATAGATCCGAATCGTTAAGATCATGAATAGCATTCAAATCAACGGGATTGCTGAGCAGATTGAATCCATCTGGTCCCATAGACATAGCCATTGGATCATTTTCATATTCAGTGCATGACTCAGTGAATGATCCATCGAAACCACTTGCTTTTTGAAAATCTGTAGCAAGAAAACTAATATTTGATTCGTCACCAAATTCTGCTCTTGTAGACGAAATTTCTGATTCATCTAAATTCAAAGCAGCTTTCTTTTTTTCATCAAACTCTTCAATGTTTTCACCTGTGAAAGCATTGCCGTTTAATGATATGGTTTCATTATCTTCTTCTTCAACTTCATGAGGACGATGACTTGCCTCTTCTTTAAATTCTTTTGGACTCGGTAAATTAATATCGTCCATCATTGATGTCTGTTTCAATGGTGAACCTGATATTGGCAAATCCATAAATCGTGATGGAATTGAAGGAGGAGATGATACGGGAACAAATTCTGCAGCATTTGGATTTAATGAAAAATCCATTTCTTCAGAACAATTATCTTGAGTTTCAGGAAGTAATAAGTCTTCGTTATTTTTGTTTATCTAGAAAAAGTAAAATTCATTATAATTCGAAAAAATAAATACTGTATTTTTAATATTAAAATAAAATACCTCAGGTTTGTCCGATGAAAAAAAGCTTTCTTTTTCCTCACTTTTATCTGTGTTTTGGTTGCTAAAATTTACTTTTTCATCAGATAGTAAATCTTTATAATTTTCGAGAATTTCTGGCTCTACAATTTCTTCACCAACTTCACTGACCACTGATGATACTTTTGGTTGCAAAAAATTTTCCGTTTCTTGATTTGGTTCAATTCTGTAAAAGTTCCATTCGTCATCTGACTCGTCACTATCACCTACATTGTCCACACTTGTTATATTATCGTGTTCATCTGTAACAAAAAGTAGAAATTATTAACAATTCTATGAGAAACCAAATTTCATCAGGACAACTTGTAAAAATAATTGTTATTTCATTATTTTCTTTATGAATGTAGATTTATTTTGTAACATTTTGTAATTCAATAAAAAAATTATATAAAATACTAAATTTGACTTTTTAACATTAAAATTTTTCTACGCCACAAATGAAGAATAACAAAATAGTTCTATCTGAATAAAATTAAATATTTTGAAGGATTTAAATCAACGAATTGCAATTAATATGTTGGAATGTACTTGGGACACTTGCCAAAAAAGTCTGGTGAGTTTCGGCGAGGATAATATGGTAAAAACAAGAAAAGTTAACAGAAGCTTCTAGCATTAACGGATGTGCGCATGAGCGACGTTGCTACCAAGAGAAATGGGCGTTACAAACCGTCATGCAGGATGGATGAAATCGTGTCGGTTTACTAACTTAGCTCAGGTCGTAAATTCTCTTTTTTTAGCCAGTACATCGATCCTTGCGGAATAATAAGTTTACGATATTGTAAAAAAAGTTCAATATTTATATTATTATTTAAAACATCAGAAAATCGCAAAAAACTTTTTCAGGTTAAAAATTCACAATATAATAATGATAGCTTAGCGGCAAAAATTAAACAACAAATAGGAATAAAGCAATTGATTTAAATTCTGACCATTATCATACATATTTAATTTGATTATTTTATTAAGCATGTTTTAATGATAACAAATAAATAAATAATAATTTTTTACTACTATAAATTTACATCAAATTAATTTGAGGTTAAATAGAAATTAAAACTTATAATGTTTTTTTTCTCATACATTCAAAGAATATTTATTAAGATTCATTAGCCTTTCTATTTATGAATTCATTCTCACATAGCTAGACTTCAAAAACATATCCTAAAAAAAACATAACAGTATAATTATAAAAGAAACGTAAAACGCGATGCTATTTTTAATCACTGTTCGTTTTAAATCAAATGTTAATAATTCATTTATTACTATTATTATTATTATTATTATTATTATTATTATTATATCTTCGTCACTGACTAACTAACAAAGAATAATAATTTTTAATTCTGACACAAAAATTTCGATAAATGTTAAAAGTATTCTTTCATTTACTTTTAAAAAAAAAAAAAAAAAAAAAATATTACATTTAGATGAATATAGAAAAGAAAAGTACTTAAATGAAATTATGCATTTCTTGAGAATTCTCGAAATACCATTTGGATATTCCTTTTTTATTTCGTTTTATTTGAAAAAATATATTGGAGTTAAGGAACTTCATAGTGGTTTTTATGTAAAAGCTTACCTTAAAGACTGTAATTTTTTTCATATAATAAACCCGTTCACTCTCCTATCCTCATACTATTTTACAAGAGTATTGAAATATTTTATTGTTAATGAAATTACGGTAAAATTATATAATGGCGATTGAATATAAACCGAAACAATCGTAGCACTAATCTTGAAGATGGTTCTCACGATATTCTTTAAGCTGACTACTCTACACTATACTCTATTACCCTATACCAAACTATTGGAAAAAGTAAACCAGTCTCTGAGATGTAAGGGTCTACAAAATTACCCGTAGTTATATTCAACATACATGCGCAAAATGGCAAACTATCGAATGAAGCCTCTGTGCCCGCGAAACTTAAATTTGGTTTAATATTTTGAATGAAACATGTATTGGTAGTTCCATGTAGTTGCCTTTGAAGATATAGTTTGTGCTATTGCTAGAAAGCTTCTTTGTTACTAGTTAGTGTATCTTCTATTTTTTCTATTACTACTTATTTTCTTTTGCTAATTAGTTAACTACTTTCGAATATTTTACTCATTTTTTGACAGTTCTGCAAATTCATGAGAGGAGTGTGTGCTAGAATTTTATACTTATAATCGTGAAGTCAATAATTTTCTAATTTTTAAAGTTATTTTAATTATGATATTCTAATCTAAACAATGGTTTTATACAATTTTTTAGACTTTGATTTCAAACAATTTCTAAAAATACTGAATTAAAAAAATTTTTGTCAATAAATATCTGTACGTTACTATGCTTATAAATCAAAACAAAAAAAAAAGAATAATTAAATGGTGAATTAAAAGCAAACGTTAAAAAAAATGGAAAATAAATAAAAATTCAATTTGAAAAATTTCTTATGTTTGCAATTTCAAATAATACTATGAATACATTTATAAGTTCAAAATCAAATCAATAAAATTTCTACAATAATAATAATGTATGAATGAGTCATATGTAAACAGATAACTACGTATGTATGTATGAGTCATTCCACCACATAAAATTATTTTCATGGTGTAAACTCTATTGAAGGTCTTGAAATTTTGGGGAAGTGTATTATTTACATTTTTAAGTGTTATTATTACTTTATACATATAAAAAAGGGTAATCGCATAAAGATTGGCTCCATCTATTTTCAGCTAGAAAAAATCGAAAAAATATATCGACAAATTTTTTTTTATTCATTTTCCATTTGATGATTAACATGACGAAAATTAAGAAAATTAATAATTATTGTATAACTTTTAGAATTTCCGATTGACAGTCAAAATTTTAATTTATAAAAACGTTTATTATATTTAATTTTTTAAATTAAATTATCTTCTCTATTTCCAATCCGTCGAAAAGTAAAAAAATTGAATGAAATGAATTTATAAATAGTTTTATAATAATTCGATTTTTTTTTTTAAGTAAAAAAATAAATTCTTTTAAAATTTGAGCCGTTTATTTCAGTAAGTTCTTTTATAAAAAAAATGAATAATAGCTTTTTATCTAAAAAAAATTCAGCTTTCTGATGGAGTTATTTTTTTTAAATGATAAATAATAAAAGATTATCAAGATTGTTATTCAAGTAAAAAAAAAACAACAAATCATTTTTCGGACTTTACGTTGTTGTAAAAATTAATTTTGAAAAAATTTTTTTTCTGAAGAATTTTTTTTTAGAAACATTTTGCTTTTTTATCTTACATTATCACACCACCTTGAATCATACCCTTTTTCAATGAGCGTAAGCCAGGAGTTTTTAAATGATTCGTTTCTCTCCATTCATTTATTTTTTTTTTAGTACTTTTTTTCATTTGGAAAGTTTTATTATTGAAACTTAAAGTTTATTTTAAAAAGAATATAATGATTTAGGAATGGAACACAACTGCAAACATTATCTTAGAATAATCACATCAAATTTAATTAAAATATTACATAATTAAGTTATTTTTTTGTTATCGGTGTGATGCATGTAAATGACAACTAGTTTAATTAATTAATATCATATGTGTTTTCTTTATCTGTTTGAAAATTATTCAATCTAGAAATCACATTTTTTTTTAATTTAATGCTTAGGAAAAAATATAAAGAAATAAAATTATTCTTTAATTGGGTAAGCGATATGTTTATAATCATGAAAATAGCTTATTAAGGTAATCGTTTAGAAATTGGGTCTAAATATTTAAATTAATGAAAATGATATTCAAATTTTTTATCGAACACATTTTCCTATATAATGTTCGCCAAAAATAGAATAATTAAAAAAAATAATTTTTTTTAATAATCTAAATTTTTAGTTAAAAAGAATTTTGTTCACAAAATGTTAAAAAATTGAAAAATTGACATTCGTGAAAATTTTTTTCGTGAATCATCTGTTTTTAAGTATTCGTAGAACATGAAAAAACGAAATAGAAATGGCTAGACTTTTGTGGACACATTTCACTATCGTTTTTGGATTGACATCAAATATTTATTAGCATTAAAAACTATTAAATCAATTAAAAACTGTATTTTTCATTATTTTTATGAATCATATCATAGATACGACGAGAAATAGAATAATTTTAAAAAAAATTTGAAAATGTCTGTTTTTTATTTATGTTTTATTTTCTCAAAATCTAAAGAGAAAAAAAAGAGATCAAGATATAGGTAATATTGTAATAGCAATAAAAAAGTTTGTAATCATTATGATCATACGAAATCTGAATATATTAGGTGGTAATTAAATTAATTTGGATCACTAGATTAGGAGGAAAGTGGAACATAATTGGAAAATTTTCGAGAAACGAAAATATAATATAATATACGTTTTAGTTAATGAAATTTTTCAGAATATCAGTCTCTTATAGCAGTATCTTTTTATCTATTCTTAGACCGCAAAATTTTAGAATTTGAAGACATTTATATTATGTTTTTCATCAATCGTTCAACAAGAGTTTATTTTTCGGAAGTTTCTCTTATGGTTAGTCTAAATATACCATTCAAGATAAAATTTTGTATGTATTAGGAATCTGTTCTCATCTTGGTGCCAGTTCATTATCTGGTCTATATAAGAAGCCTACTCCTATTATTTCCTGGTCCTATTTTTTTGTCATGGTGACAATCAGTGCATTAAGTTCACTAACTGATACGATTTGAAATTGTTCAAGAGAAAGTTCTTTAAGCGAAAACTGAACATTTTAGAAAGTTAGGTTATTAACAATATTATTTGATTATACAAGTGATTCAGTAAGTCATAGAATAAGAAAAAATAATTTAAATTTAGTAATCACGAGAAGATTCTAAGAAGTGAGTAACTATAAACTTTAATGGTAAATATACAAGAAAATAAGGTTCAGAATTTAACACTAATTAAAATCGGGTATGATGTCATATACTATTTTTTAAATAAAAACTTACAATTCGTGTTCAATATAAGTATTTTAAATTGAAAAAAATGCAATTTGAAAATTATTCCAAGCAACATTCTTGAAAAAAAATTTTTTTTTTGAGAATTCTTGATATCTTTTGAACCGTCTCAACCAATTATTATATCAACCGATTCTAATTTTGCGATATATAGTCAAAAGAGTTTGTAGAGCGCAACAAGTCATTAGATCTCATGGATTCGATGAGTTAAAAAATTTTCAGATCATAAAAATAATAAAAGTATATTAGTTTTTATGACTTACTTGTATTATTTGAAGGACATGAAAATGTATCGCCTAGTTCATTTCCCACAGTTAGATTATTATCAGACTTTTCATTTGAAAATAATTCTCTTGAAGCATTCACAAGTGTACAATTGTCACCTGCATCGAGAGTATCAACGTTCGTCTCGGGACCAAGATCGTCATTTTTACCATCCTCGTAACCTAAAGTTCTACCATCTTGACTTATAGTTGACGACTTGTCGTACGACGCATTATCATCAAAAGCAGAGTCGTTTTTATTAAAAAATTGTTGTTCCATGAATTCTGTATCAACATCATATTGAGAATTGGGATTTGACATATGTCGATTATTTACTTCCATGTTGATTGTATTCACATCCGTGGATAAAGAATGAGTATCAAACTGCTTTGCGCCAATTTGATCTGGAGGTGTTAAAAATACAATAATTACAGTAATATTATCGGATGATCCTTGGCTTTTTGAGTATTCTCCTAAACAATGGCTTATCGCCTCGATGTTATCTGAAAAAAAAAAAAAAAAAAAATTATAAATTTTTGCATTTTATACAGCGTTGGTCAATCATCAACCGTGTTTTTTGAGTAGATCAGCTGATAGAGCTTCAAAATTGATCAGTACAATAGTTTAGAAGTTGTTTCGAAAAAATTTTTTCTTAGATCGAATTTTTAAGATTTCTCGAAATCTACCATACCAAATAAGTTTAAATTTTCTGAAAGTTTGAATTTAATCAAGCTTTTTTCAATTACGTTTTTTTTTTTTTACAAAATAATATTAATACGATTTCAATTTTTCAAATGACAGGATATTCATGAAATTCTTTTAACATTTTTCACTAATTCAATTAAAAATTTCATGCTAGTAAATGTAAATAACAACATAAATTTTATATGTGTGATTAATCGAAAGAAATTACTGTTTTTTAATTGAGAAAATGTATTCCTTATAAAATTTTTTAAATTGACGCTCCACTTATTCGACTATGACTGATAGTATTTTTTTTATATAAAACCTTTGTTCTATTTTATAATGTCACACATGAATTTGTTTGAATATACTATATATTCTTTGACTCAAAACCGAAATTATAATGAGCAATAATCTTGAGCAATTATAATGGTTGGTTAGTAATATGTACTATAATTAAAAATAATGCGTATGACCGGAGAAAATTGACGTGAAATTTTCACGGAGAATAACAATCGGTAAATTTCGAAAATAATTAAAATTTATGAGATAAAATTCGTACCTTAGTGCTAATAAATTCTTTGTTGGCTTACCAGAAGCAATATTTTTTTTATAACTATTGAATCTTACTATTACCATAAATGAATAAAACGAAAATAATAAAATAGAACTACTCGATATGACAAGGAGAATATTTTGTAGACCTTCTATAGTATAAAATTGTGGTTTTAAATTATAACGGGTGTGGTAACGTTCTACAAACGACTGCCGACTGATTTTTACACAAACGAAGTTACCGCTACGTGACTCAGCGACACCCCCATTTTATTTTATCCTCTGTTCTTTCACTCATTTATATACTTCACTCTTTCTTACCTACTTTTATTATTTTTTCAACTTCACTTACACAATCAAGCATTTTTTTTTATTTCAAAGATTTTATGTACTGTCTTTTCACAATTTTGAGATTCAGTTAACCATAAAAAGTATAAATAATAAATTAAATTAATTAATTCACAAAAAAACATATTTTTCAAAATTATTATTCTGAAAATATTTATAAAAATAGTTTCAGATGATATTAATTTAAAAATTTTTATCAGTTCAAAAATATTTTTTTTTGTTTTCAACTATAAGAAAACATTTCAAACATGTATTAAATAATTTTATCTAAGTATGGTATTCTATTAAGGAGGTCCTTTCGCCGCCAATGTAAAATAAAAAATATTAGATTATGAGTAAATTCAATTTTTTTCTAATAGTTAAGGTCCTTATTTATCTAATAGTGAGGTTTAAATTATACTTTACCGGACAAATTTTTGAAAAAATAAAATTTTTAAATGTTAGTATTTGTTCAGAGTCTTACGAGAAAGTCAGACGTTTGCAGTATTTCTCGAATTATACTATCAGTCATAGATTA